AAGTTACCTGCCCCGGCTTAGAATGTTTTTGGTGGATCTGCTAGACTTTGGAAATTTAGACTCACGGCATAACTTGACGTCTCCCCTTGACTTCACTTAGGTGTCCCAAACGTGACAGTCCAAAACAAGGTCCCTCCTGCTTCCAAACTTGTTTCCCACCTGTCTTCCCACCTGAGCTCCAGGATGGTGTGTCCCAGCCAAAATTCGAGGAGCCAGCCTTGAGTCTTCCTTCCCCCTCTTCTCTCATCCATTCCATTTTAAACCTTCGGGAATCGACTCCTAGAATGTTTCTGGAAAACTCTCCTCTGGCTTGCTATTATTCCAAGATCAAACCCAAACCCTTGACCACAGTCCACTAGGTCCTTCGTGACCTGACCCTACCTACCTCCATAAACCCACGTGGTGATGCTCTCCTCTTAGCTTGCCCTCAACATACCATATTTGTTTTCTGTGGCTGCTGTGACAAATCACCACAGTCTTCGTAGCTTAAAACGACACCAATTAATTCTCCTACGGTTCTGGAGGCCAGGAGGCCAGATTCCAAAATGGGCTACAACCAAAGCGGGAGCAGACCTGTGCTCCTTCCAGAGGTTCTCGGGGAAAATCTGTGCCCTGGCTTTTTCCAGCTTCCAGAGCCACACGCCTGGACCCATGGGGCCCCTTCCTCCACCTCCAAAGCCAGGAATCTAGCATCTTACTTCAGTGGTCACACCTTCTTCTGTGTCTAGCCTCCCTCAGCCTCGCTCCTACAAAGACACTCATGGTTGCGATTAGGGCCTAGCTAGCTAATCTAGGACAATCTCCCCAACCCAAGATCCTCATCATAATCACTTAAATTCAGTCCCTTTTGCCACATAAGGCAATATTCACAGGCTCAAGGAATTAGGAGCTAAGTATTTGGGGCCATTATTCAGCCCACTACGCGTACCAAGCCCTTTCCCATGACAGCGTCTTCAGATAACTTGTTCTCTGTGAATAAGCCCCCTCTCATTCATGAGGTCCCAGCTTCTCCGTCTCTGACCAATCTGAAGGACCCCCCCATCCTGAACCTTTACTTCCTTCCTAGCGCTTACTACAGTGGGCTCTATTTTTATATAACTTCCGGTTCACTAGTTTTCTGCCCACCTCTCCTGCCCCCTCAACCCAACTGCCCTGACGACAAGGATCGTGTGTGTTTTGTTCATCCACCGATTGTCCTAACGTATCTGGCTGGTAAATAATCGCCGAATGGGCTTAAGGAAAATGAAATTTTCCGATTTTTCCAATCCAAGACGCCACCACACAAATGCAATGCCATGTGTACGCCTCAGAGAAAGCAGGCCCATCGGTGTCCACTCCCCTCCTGATCTTCTGTATCAGAACAGTGGTCTGGACAGAACCTAACACCACCAACGGAGAGCCCACGAGCACGCTCACAGACAGGAGCCCACGGAGAGGCCACAGCATTTAGCGAGCCAGGCCCACACAAAACATTTCAAGGAGGCGGATGTCACTTCAGTGAGGAAGCACCTGAGCCCTTGTTCATTAAATGCCGCTGAGGAGGATTTCAACAAGGAGGCTGCTTGCTGAGGAGAGCTGTTCCCGAACCTTCTCCATCCTTTTCCTGGTAAAGACTCCTGGAGCCACTGGGAGAGAATCAAGGGAGGCCCAGGGGCCTCCTCACATTTGCCTTTCAGCCACAAGGGGCACCAGGAGGCGCCAACACAGCTTAAAACTTCACACTGGGTGGGGCGCCTGGGTGGTTCAGTCGGTTAAGCGTCTGACTTCAGCTCAGGTCATGATCTCGCGGTTTGTGAGTTTGAGCCCCACGTTAGGCTCTGTGCTGACAGCTCAGAGCCTGGGGCCTGCTTCGGACTCTGGGTCTCCCTCTGCCCCTCCCCTGCTTGTGCTCTGTCTCTCTCTCTCTGTTTCTCAAAAATGAATAAATGTAAAAAAAAATAAAAATAAATTAAAAAAAAAAAAACTTCACACTGGGTTAGACCCTTGTAAACCAAAGCCCAAAGGGCTTTGATTGCAAGCCTATTTCTATGAATTGCTTCTGCCCTAAACAATAAATTATCTAGTCAAAACATCATTTTTGCCCCTCCAAGTAGAAAATTGTGCTTTAATATTTGACAACATTCACGAATATCTTTTAAACATTTTGGTCACCATCTGTTGAGACCCCCACAGCTTTGAGGACTCAACAGTTCTCCTCCCCTGTGACTATTTACAGCATAAAGTTCATGGTCATGTTTTTTACAAAAACAAACTTGAGAGAATCAAACCAAGTGGTTCATAAATAGTAACCAGTTTGCACAAAAAGTAATGTTTAAGTAATAACACTTGGACCGCACCTGACGGTTTACGGAGGCTTCAACAGTGCATCATTTTGAAAAATCCAGAAAAACATCTGCCTTATAAGGAAAAGTCTTTGATTTCGCTCCTGTAAACTTTTGATCCATAACTCTGTATCACGTAACACTGAGCCATTTCAGGGGTCTGCTGTCACAACTCACAGGCATCAACCAGAGACCTGGTGGGACTATTCAAAATTCTGATTCTAAAAAGCTGCATTTGGGTGGGGCGTTGTTTCCAAAGGCTTAACTGAAGAGTAATTGACTTCGCTGAAAAAAAAAAAAAAAAAAAAAAAAAAAAAAAAAAAAAAAAAAAATTGTGCGTGTGATATTTGCCGTAGTGTCGTCTTATTTTTTGGAAAATCTAGCCCATCTTAGGGAACGAACGGCTGTCATGTTCCCCTTTCGATCATGTGTTAAGTATCAGGAAGGAGAGCAGGTGAATTGCAGCCCTTCCCACCCTGGGCTTGGGGGGGGTGGGGAGGCTAGAAATTATCAAAGCTGAGAACACCTATATTCTGAAACTTTACCCTCAGAGGAAGTGCCACGTGCAGGGATCCAGGATGGGGGGAGGGACCAGATGTGGGGAACTTCTGGATGGGCGACAACCCATGAGTTAAAACATGGCAGAAAGCTGCTCCCTGAATCCCCCTCCTCACTGTGAGGCAGGTGGGAAGGGGGGCCGCTCCTGTGGGTCCAGGTCTCTACAGCACCAGGCACGCAGTAACCTCCATGGGCCCCACTGACCCACGTCGGATCAGCCAGAGGCGGCAGGGAGCTGCCCCTCCTCTACGTTCCACAGATCGACTCTTGGGAAGAACGGGACGCAAAACAGGCTGCAGAAGAGTTACTCTAAAGGGCACGGTTGCTCCTTCTTCTGCCAGAACAAAGGTGACCTATTGTGCTCGTCCCGGGCAGGACTCGGCTCTGGGTGAATGGACTGCTGCCAGACGGAATCCAGCTTCTGGGATCCAAACCCACGGCCTGTTCACAAACAAACTGAGATGAACGTTGGCCTCCGGGCTTCAGAGCAAGAGTCTGGTGTCCCTCTGGCTGAGCCTCTCGGTCTCCTCCGGAGAGAAAGTGTTGCCTCGGAGCCTAAAGGGGATAAAGCAAAGAGAGGTCTGGGCGAACGCTGAGCCAGAGCGGTGCTTTTAACTGGAGGCTGCTCCTTTCCAAACCTGTGCCTGAACGGCCTGGCCCCAAGGCCCCGCTGCAGCCCTCCTGTGCTGGTGTTAGCCTCTGTCCACCAGGGCAGCTCATGAGTCACTGTGTGCGACAAAGCAAGCCTCCGTGACTCTGCAGAGAGAATCCACACCGGACCCAGCCAGCCCTGACTCCCCAAGGCAGGCGATTCTTTTTAAGGCAACAGCAGAATCTGTCAAGAATGCAATGAGCAAGCCCTGATACCCTCCCAAGTTCTGCCAACGGGCGGCAAATAACATCAGAACCCTTAAAATATCAACCTGATGCTGGCCTCCTCCTCCCGGACACAGAATGTGACATTTCCTCTGACCGTGTAAGGGTTTAAAACAAAAACTCACACTCTGCCAGGGGCCTGAGGATCTCACTGCCTGTAGGGATTACACAACCATACAGAAAGGAAAAGCGCTTTATCACAGGACAGATTCCTAGACATCTGTATTTTAAACCTCATCATTGGATATGTATTGGTGCTGCTGCCTTGGTATGATTTTTGAGGG